ATCGGTGGGGCCGGTAGAGGTAACTGCTGATTAGGTCTCGGCTGCCCATACTGTCCCTGCTTAGCTTTGGGACACATCTTGGCCGGATGCCCAATCTCTCTACAGTGATAACAACGTCCCGTAAAAGGACCTGCTTGCCTTCTCTGTTGATTTCCCGACCACTGTTCCTGTCCGGTCTGAGGTATCCCACCTTGTCTACCCTGATTAGGGACTCCATCCCTCTGCACATCTAGGTTTCCTTTGTTTTTCTTCCAAGGTTGATGTCCTTGAAATCTGCCCCGATCATTGGACTTGGCACCACTGCTGCTTCCTTTCTCCACTGTCTGGTAGTCTCGGTTAGTCCGTTTATCTCCCTTGGATTTCCGGTAATCACTCCTCATCTGGCAGTGCTGTAAGGCGGCATTAACCACCTGGATATAAGTAGTATATGCCGGACTACCTAAGATCACCACTTTAATCGGCCATATTAACCCCTTCACAAAGCGGTCTCGCTTCTTTTCTTCCGTATTGACCTCCTCTGGTGCAAATAATGACAAATTAATGAACTTCTGTTCATACTCAGCCACAGTCATATCTTCCTGTTGCAGATCCAGAAATTCAGTCTTCATCGCTGATCTTACTGACATAGGAAAATACTTGTCGTCAAAGCGAGTCTGAAATTCAGCATACGTCAATCTGGTCCTCTCATCGACAGTAGTAATAGACTCCCACCACTGCAATGCATTGCCTATCAGCATAAACGTAGCCAGCATCTGTTTCTGCACTTCGGTACAGATTACCATCCGAAGATGACGCTCGCTCTCCTGTTTCCACTGATATGCTAACAGGACATCTGTGGACCCTGCAAATGTCGGTGGATTTCCCCGGATGAACGAGTGACGAACTTTGTCCCATGACATTGGCTGTGCCACTGGTTCAGGAACAGGTACTATTGGAAGAGGTTGCTGGTTTCGTAGAGCAGATGCTACTCCTGCTGCCACAGCTCGTGCAATGATATCAGCAACTTGAGGAGAAAATTCCTGATTCTCATTTTGAGTTGGGGAAATACTGCGATGACGGTTCGCATTCCTTGTCCCACGCCGAGACATCCTTCTTTTAAATTCAGAAAAATCTAACGTCAGTACATTATAATGGACCGACTAAAAGAATACGAAGAACCCTAATACTTAGGCTCTAATTATCAGAATACACAACGCGGAAGTATAGTAATCACAGATCCCTAAGACACTCGAACCTGGAATGCTCTGATACCAACTGTAACACCCCCACATTTTCCACGCATAAGTTGATCAGGCTTATACACGAAAAACGAGGGATATCAAAAACAATTGGCAATATACAAGCATGGAATACAAAATGATGGAAATAAAAGAATTTAGACAGGAAAGAAACATTAAATAATACAACATCCATCCATCCTTTATTTAATACAGTACTTCATTACAACTTGGAAATCCTACGTCAGGGATCCCTAAATATAACCCTGAGAGTTCAACGTCAAAAGTAAATAAAAACTGAAACTGAAGTATTACATAAAACTTCTACCCTGCACTGGATCGTAAGAGTAGATGGGTTCGGATGATGGTCCCACACTGCTAACCTCAGCCTTGAAACGGATACTGACCGTATCCTGAAATAACAACAATGGTGGGTCAACCCCACGAGCAAGTCCTCTCTACTATGACCCAAATCAGAGAATCAAATAAATTAATCATTATGAATCGGATGAGTACTATATCTGTATACATCCTACGGGAACTATCCGATGTATAACATGACCTCAACCAGAATAGACGGTGATCACTTAGACTCACACTAGGTGGTTAAGTGTCGCCTTTCCCTACCCGGGAAATCAGCTATTATACATGGTGCACGGTACTGACAACACAGACTATAACGAACTACACAGTGATAACACCTCGCAAAGTACTGATGAATATACTGAGCATATAAATTAGGCAACACATGCCAACAATATTAAGAAATATACCGAGTATGTCAATTAGGCAACACATGCCAATAATATTAATAAATATACCGAGTATGTCAATTAGGCAACACATGCCAATAATATTAATAAATATACCGAGTATGTCAATTAGGCAACACATGCCAATAATATTAAACCACATACCCCGACAGCCACACATCTGTCTATCGCAACGAATGCATAAGGTATAAATGAGTCTAAACTTATTAGTCAGCTCACATGGTTCTATATGGCAACACATCCATATAATATAAATGCGACATAATAAACAGTCCATTTATTCCCTGAAATGCACACAGCATAATAATCATGGTTTATATACGATTAACAGTATAAATATTCCATAATATATAATGGGTTATTTATATGAAGAAAACCAAGCACTAATTAATTTAACATTAATGGTTATTACAGTTTAATAAAATAGTACCATTAATAGTCGTTAAATCAATTACATATGTTTACTAGCGATTCGCACTTTAACTGATACAATTAATATTTAGAAATATTAATCGGACAATTATAATAATTAACGAGAAATAAAATAATAATATAATGTCCCGTTAATTCCAAAAATGCCAACCCGAGGCCCCAAAATGTATAGTGAAGGTCCTGGTAATGACAAAACAGTCCCTAGGGGTATTCTGGACTTTTCCAGCAGCCGCAGAGGCCCTTTACGCGCCCCCACGCGCCTCCCAGAGCTCCCCACACGCGCCGCCAAGCTTTCCCACTCTCCCACGCGCCTCCACGCGCGTCTGGCGTCAGCCACGCGCGCACACGCGCTCCCACGCGCGTCTGGAGAGTCCCACGCGCGCGTTGATGGCTTCCTGCTGACGTGGCGTCCTCCGGTTGGTTGGCTGCATCAGCTTTCCTACATGCGCGCCACACCGGATCAATCCATCTACATCTCCTCCATCCAACGTTCACGGATCCGGGTGTACCGCGGTAACATGGACCGCGGTGCACCGGATCAATCGCTGCTATTTAATGGTCCAGATGCGCGCGCATACCCTCCTATGGTGCGCCGCATCACACCGGATCACTCCGGTCGTCTCCCCCATCGCCGGCGACCGGAAAACTCGCCGGAAGGTCGCCGGAAATTTCAGAAAATGCCCGGAAAAATCTAGAAAATTCTAGAAAAATCCCTAAAGTCTTATTTAATTATTTTTAGCCATTATTAATTTCATAGGACATTAAATAAATATATACCATCCTATATAATTAAAATTCCATTAATTTAATAAAATAAAATTAATAATTTATTAACCTCCAAACCTTGGCTCTATGCATAAAAATAAGCTAAACAATTAATTTATTAATTCAAAGGGGAAAAGTAGATAATAACTTGCCTTTTTGGATTTAAAATAAATCCGCCGGTCTGCGCGTAGTCGGGTAAAATTGCCTACACCGGTCCAAGCTTCTTTCTCTTTCTCTTTTCCTTTCACTCTTATAAAATAGCTCTCTAGAATTTATACTTTGCTTCTAACTCCCTTTTATTTTTTTCTAAGGCAAGCTAGTTAATTTATAGACAAAATATATAATATAAATATTACAAATATCTAATTTATAATAACTTCTCACCCATTTCTCATATTCCTACCTATATGGCTTTAATTCCAACCATAACCATTGATGCAATCCTATCCTAATCTCTAATTTCATCATGACTTTGGTTTAATACTATTATTATTATTATAAATATTATTATTATTATTACTAATATTATTATTAATAAACTTTTATAATAATTATTATTATTATTATATTATTATTATTATTATTATTATTAAACTAATATAATTATTATTATTACAAAATAATACATTATATCATCATAATACTATATAACACAAATATAATACTTTAATTAACTAATAATGATTAATTTAAGCATAACCAACAAATGAAATTATTATTAATAATACATGCATAATTAAATGAATAAATTTACTATTTTAACATACACAATTAATTTACATGCACAATTAAATGAACTTAATATAATAATGTAGTATGCACAAATAAATAAAATTAATTAACCTAACACAAGATTAATTTAAATACATTCTTTAAAATTACGGGGTATTACAACGAAGAAGTAATTGATTAAGCCATTGACAAGAGTTCTATGGAAGAAAAAAAAAAAAAATTTCTAATCTAAGCATTGAAAAATTTTTAGGGGTGTTAAAAAAATCCGGTAAACCAAAAAAGGGGACCGGATCGGACTGAATTGGGTAATTTGGGCTAGTTGTGTAGCGGCTTGGTCCGGTCCCGAACCCAAAATTATAGAACCGTAATTTTTCGGTCCTGTCCTGGTTTAGGGTACTGGACCGGCCCGGACCGAACCGTTACTATGTTATATATATATATATATATATATATATATGTATATATATTATACCCTAAACCTAAATCAAGTAAAGTTCTTACGTCTCATGTGCCTTCAAAATTATCTCAACTTTTTCTTTCTTTTGTTATTTAAATTTCTTTTAATAAAAGTCAAATTTCTCTTTTAAAAATCATATCTCAATTTTCTTTCCTTTTTTCTTCTTAAAATTATTCTTTTTGCGTGTTGTATCAATGATAGATGATTTTTTTTTTTTTTTTTTTAAACTTTGCCCCGTCTGAATTAAAATCCTAGCTCCGATCCATGAAAAATATACCGGAAAAATAAAAAATTTTGTTTTTACAAATAAAATAAAAAGAAAATTTACTTAGACCGACAAATCGAACCGAACCAAATCAGTTTCTCGCGGTTTGATTTAGTTCCATAGACATTATCGTTCAATCTGATTTCAAAACTAGTGAAACCGTCATAAATAATTTGGTATAAAAAACACTTTCAATCCGGTCCAAATCGGACCTTATACACCCCTTCAAACAAAAATTGTGTAACTTAACACCATACACAATTTCCATTTTTCTTCATTGGAATTATATATATACTTACGTTGGTGGGAAAAAATAAAAAAATTATATATACTACGAGTATTAATTAACACAGAGTCGGATAGAATTAGAGATTCGATATAAATAGTTGGAAAACAAAGCAAGGCCGCCATATTTTTATCTTCAATCAAACTGCACCCATCTTCAAGAGTTGGACAACACAACTGTTTTTCTTTTCTATCTTGTTTCGCGACTCTTCTCGAAAAGGGTTTGTTCTCTGTAATCCCCTTTTCGTTTTGGGTTTTTTTGATCTCTCAATTTCCATCTAATTCAAGATCATCCCTTTATTATCAATTTTTTTTTTTTCTTGTTATTTAGTGTTTGTAGTTGTGAGGAAATACAAGTATAAGACCTAGCAATTGGGTTTTCTGATCATAGTAATGACGCGTCTATTGTTGTATCATGGAATATTTGTACTTACAAGTCATGGATTTAGGGTTTTAATTAATTTCAGATTTTAAAGCAAGATGATCTTCTGATCGTTGATTGCTTGTATCTGTTGTTTGACATCTTTGTACTTGGAAGCCATAAATTTGGGGTGAATTAATTTTAGGTCTTATATCAAGATGGTTCCTTGATCATTGTAATCTTATATGAAATTCGTTTTACTTTAGGATCAAGGTTGTGGATGTTGAACATTTTATTTTGCACATATTTTTCAAAATTCGTTATCGAGAACAAATTTTTTCTTGTATGTGAAAATTGAAAGCAAGAGTATTAAATTGTTTGAGATTTGATGTCAGGGAAATGGCAAAGAGTTACTTCAAACAAGAGCATGATCTTGGTAGGCACTTTTTTTTGTTCAACTGAAACTTTGTAACTTTCATCTTCTTTTGGGCTGTTTAAATGTTTATTTGTGGAGTCACAGAGATTTCTTGAGTTATTGAATTTGTGATGTCATTTATGTTCAGAGAAGAGACGTGCTGAGGCTGCTCGGATTAGGGAAAAATACCCAGATAGGATTCCGGTGAGAACAGGACACTATTTCTAAAATCTAATTTGATTTCATTGAATCCTTTTGCAAACTGCTCCATTTACCGCATGTTGTCTCATGTCTGTAGATTTTAATCTTAGTTGAACTAATTTAGGTTTACCTGTTTTTGAGTTGGCATTTCAATTTTGAGATGTGTTTTACATGCTTGTTAAGGAACATGGCCGTTGGAACTTCACTATTAACTTTCTACTCCAAATTGTGAGTACATGGAAATTCAAATATACATGGAAAGTGGGGGAAAAGAAGTTAAAAGCGGAGTGCCAATAAAACTAGCATTTCTTCATCGTCACCATCATCATTATTATTTTTTATATGTTTTGAAGGCCAGAAGCAGTCGTATAAGTTTTTAAGTTTTTAGCATCGAAGTAGATAAGGCCTGTGGTCTATGTGCTACCTGTTGGATTGTGATGGATTATAGTTATAATTTAGGGCCACTATGTGTAGTGATTGTAGGTGTACTGTTTTGACAATAGTTAAATATGTTTGTTAAACAATCTAGCGTCAAACATTACGTGCTCTTTGCTTTTGCAATGGTAACGTAACTTATTGTGTTCTCTGCAATTGGTGAGTTTTTGTATAAAAATGTACTTGGAGAATAAGTGATGATACTGATTCTATTTGACAGATGATGAATATGCTGTTTCACCGGAAATTTGATTCCAGAATTGAAGTAGATGAAACTTTATAATTTTAGATTCTAAGGCTAACAAAGTGCTCCAGATGCTTGTAAATGGAAAATTTGCAGCTGTTAAGTGTTCGAGAACTATTGTTCTCATATCAATAAGATGCTGAAGTCATGCCATGCCATGCCATTGTTGCATGTCTAACTAGGATGTCAAGTGGTCACTTATGAGCTGAAGTTCTATCATTGTTTAAGTGGGGTAGCGGGTCTTGGTGGTATTTAAATTGATAAATGGAGTTTAAAATATGCTTGGCTCACAGACCTTTTACACCATCTTTGTCCCTATAACTACATCTTGTGAATGAGACTTGCTGATTCCTAATTTAATTGTCCTAGGATGTGAATTTGTATGCATTGTCAACAAAAATTAATGTTGAGCAGTTCGGGATTTCTAATAATGTGTCAGGTGACTCCCATCATAACATATGTAGAATTCTTAATGATATTCAATTTTTAATGATTTTATTAGATAATATGGCGGGTTAATTCCTTGTGTATTTGGCATAAGGCTTTGCAAGTGAAATAATGTTTAGAATGTTAACACTGTTGGGCCGTTCCACGAAAGCAGTGCATTGCATAGTCAATTATAAACATGGATAGCTCTGATGATATTGTGTTGCATAGATGAGCAAGAGTTTTCTGTGTTGTTGATAAGTTCACAGGAAAAAATATAATTACAGTAGCTTTCACTGAGGGACGTGGAATGTATATATATATATTTGAAGAGGTAATAGGATAGATTTGGTAGACAAGATAATGGAAGGACGAGATAGAGAATGATGATGATGGAAAGTGGCAGTATCTTGTGGAAGTTTTTTCTGGATAATATAGCACCATGGCCATTTCTGTTGCTACCATCTTGTTTAAGGAGAATTGGATAGGAACTGAATTGATGATCTAGCCCCTCAAGCCTTTCTAAGTGTTCCAGTGTTACTTAGTTAAGATTGCCTATTAGTAGGTAAGACTACTTTATTTTGGGCAACCTTTGAATATGCTATCTTTTCAATTAGAATTTTGTCATGTGTCAGTTTGTAGAAGATGATTTCATATGTGGCAATTGTTGCTAGAGGTTCCTTTATTTTTCATACATTTCAATCAAGAGATGACTTTTTTCATGCTAATGCTGTACTTCTTGTCATAATAATGATGCCATGGATGTGAACTTGCTTCTTTTGAGTTTCTCATATGCTTTTCTGATTCCAGTCTAATTTAAACTAATTCTGCTTTTATGATTTGAAGGTGATAGTCGAGAAAGCAGAAAGAAGTGATATCCCAAACATAGATAAGAAAAAGTAAGCATTATTCTGTACAGATAATTGTTTTGGATTGTATCCCTCCCTCTCCCCTTCTCTTTGGTCTTTTTTTTTTAAAATTATTTTATTATTTTTAAAATTTTAATTTCTAGGGAGAAATCATCTGAATTGTAGTCAGAAGTAATTAGTATTTGTTTATTTATGTTAATGTGGAGATCTCTAATTCTCCATATTCTGGAGTGGAGGATTCCATTAAGAATGGCTGTTTAATAGTGTTCTCCAATGACAGCCGCAAAAGGATGTAAAATCCGATGAGCAACTTACTTTGATCTTGTATTTTCATCAGTTTCCACTGTTTATTCAATTTAAATCTTCTTCTGTTGTTATAAGTAAGTTTGAGTGAACAGATAGTGAGTCAATAAATTAACTAACTTGATTAATAAACACTATCTATATTAGTAAAATAAAAAACCTATAAACATAATCATCTAGAAATTCTCAGAGGTGAAGCAAATCAAACCTAATTTCAGACAAAAAAGATGAAGTAGCAAACTTATAGAAGCCAGGAAAGCTCCAAAGATTTTATGCAAATTTGGAAACATCGAAGTGAGTTGTGGCTTACTAATAGGAAGATGAGGAGATAACAGGCAAAGGATATTCATGATGTTAGGTGACTTTAGTACTCAGACTCATGGCATGTATGTAAGTGTCTGAATGTTATTTTAGTACTCAGACTCATGACATGTATGCAAGTGTCTGAATGTTATTCCTAACATATGAAAACCACTTAGAATCTATGTAGATGTCTCTCTCAATTTAAATTTATTGTTGAATTAATCATGAATAGAAGAAACCATTTGAGAAAATGAAATGTTTAGAATATTGAAAGTTTTCATTTCTAGTAGAAAATGACAATGTATAGAGAATTGTGGTGAAAATTTATATTTCTGGAAATGGTTCCATTCAACTTGTTGATTTATAAATTAAAATTCTGTGTAAAATGTGAACAAGGGTATTCAAATTCAATTGACATGGCCCTCAATAGGGCTAAAGGGCTAGCCTAGTGCACGAGGTTCTGCTATTGTGGAGTTTGGGGAGCGTCAGATGTGCACAGCCTTACCTCTACACGCGGAGAGGCTATTTCCCTTTTCGAACGTAGAGCAACCTTACCATTGCACACCCTCACATGACCCTCAATAGGTCTATTTGGTCATGTTCTTCAGTAGCATTTTTAATCAAATCTTGTTTGAAGCACTAAAACAGCCTCTACGCATTCAGAGTTAAGGCTGCTTACATCCGACTCTTCCAGGCCCTGCAATGATGGGAACCTCGTGCATCCACAATATATGTATAAAGATTTGCATGCATCATTTAAATTAGAATCCGCGTCGAACTTCTTTCTTAGATGGTGCCTTCTATGTTCTTGAACTTCTAAAATGCACATTATAGAGGTAAATTAATTACTCTGTCTCTACTTAAGTGTTAATATTAATTACTAGTTTCTTCTTTAATACACGTCCTCTCACTTTTTCTCTTTATTCCCCATTAAACTCCCCCCTCAGTTTCTCTCTCATGTATTTAACTATAAAATTAAGTATCCTAAATAAACTTGGAAAACATTGATAATATTATAATAACTTTAAAAAGTATGGCTAAAATATTCTAGAGTTTAGTTTAACTGCGTGATAAGACTTGAAAACAAGAAAATAAAATAAAAAGTAAGGCTCACTTGCTACAGAGATAGGAAATTTAAGAAAATATTCAAGGTCTTACTTTTTCTCTTTATTCCCCATTAAACTCCCCCCTCATATATTTAACTATAAAATTAAGTATCCTAAATAAACTTGGAAAACATTGATTATATTATAATAACTTTAAAAAGTATGGCTAAATTATTCTACAGTTTAGTTTAACTACATGATAAGACTTGAAAATAAGAAAATAAAATAAAAAGTAAGGCTCACTTGCTACAGAGATAGGAAATTTAAGAAAATATTCAAGGGAAGGGAAAAGAAGAAGAAGAAGACGAAGAAGAAGAAGAAGAAGAAGAAGTTAAAGAAAAATGAACTACGCAAATTCTTTAACACCAGAATATTGCTCTGATTGTAGTTGTCAATTTTATTCCATCCTGAAAGTTTATATTCATTATTCTTTTTGGGAAAATTTTTTTTTTATAAACATTACTTTTTTGGGAGCCTGATATTTACAATTGATTAATTACTTAATTTCAGAAAAATGGTTTACAAAACTTTTTTTTTTATTTTTTTATTTTAAATCCTTCTTTAGCAATCAAGGCTCCTCTTCTTTCATCTAACAAATATAATTCTTAACCCACCTCAAATCCCAACTCAACCCAACAAACTATAGTTTACCACGATTTTGTGTTTTGAAATCTTCTTATGATCTTATTATTTGTTTCGGTATGAAGCATTTGTGATAACTGATAATATTTTCATTTGGTTGGGTGCTTTGTAAGAATTGTCCAAATGAACAATTTAGCAAATGAATGACAAATGCTTGAGCAATCACAAAAGTTGGATAAGATATCAAAACCATTCTAAAATTAAGGTCAGCTCCCTCTAAGTCAATATACTGTTTTGAGCTATAACAACATTAGTGGCTTTTGAAGAATAACCACCTCGCTGAGATCGTAAGGTCAAAGTAAATATGTGATGGAGGAAAATCCAATTTGTCATTTGTCATAATTTCTAATTTTTAACAGGTTAATTTAAGCTTTATGTTTTTTGTCGTATATTTTGACTAAAGTTACAAATTTCGCTTCATTTATGTGGTTAAGTGATCAATATATTTTAAAAACATGAAAGCGTGATTTATGAAATGAGTTATGACCTGACTGACATCTTCAATTTTTCTTCCAACTTATCCTATATAATATTTATTTTTTATTTTGCTGAGTGAAAGGTTTTCTGTTGTTAATAACTTAATACTTTTGATTCTTTTATCAAGGTCCTGTTTTAAGGTTAATAAACATATGATGGTTGGTTTAAGTATCTGAATATGGAATTAATATTTTGATCCATGTTTGTTTAAATTTTTTTATGGTTAAGGCACTTACATTTACAATAAAAATTTCGAGAACAGCAGCCACCAAATTTTTTCTGTTTGCTTACCTGGAGTCTTTCATTTTATCATTTAAGAGTTTTGGTCTCTTCAATCTTCATGCAGCGTGGATTGATGTTGGTTAATATGTTTTAGTTAAATGGTGATATGTTTCTCGTAGTGAGCTTTTTTGTATATAAACTGAGCAAAAAATTACAGGTATCTTGTCCCTGCGGACTTGACAGTAGGACAATTTGTCTATGTTATACGCAAAAGGATCAAATTGAGTGCGGAGAAAGCAATTTTCATATTTGTGGACAATGTCCTGCCACCTACAGGTGATACTCGGAGTTCTTCTTTTCCTTTCTGATTGTTGCTTTACATTGGGGACCGAATGTTTTGTTACTTGAAGTTGTTTTGCTTTCTGATCACTAACAAGCTGGAATATTGCTCGGTTTTTGCAGGGGCAATTATGTCCGCCATATATGATGAGAAGAAGGATGAAGATGGGTTTCTCTATGTTACTTACAGTGGAGAGAACACATTTGGGGACCAGATCCTCCTGTAGCATATGAAATTTTGGGTATCGATCACATTGTTTCTTCAAAAGTTCCATCCAATTACCTCAAATCCCTTGCATCGTTATTATATAATTGTACCTACTTTATGAAGAGATTGCAAGCAATATTATGTATAGTTTTATCCTATATGTATGCCTAAGAACCTCTCCAATGTCAAATTATCCTATTCGTGTTTTAAATAATCGTTTTTAATATGGTGCTGCTTTGATTTTAGCTATGAACTAAGACTGTTTCTAAACGGTTGATGCTCTTAGTAGGTCTCTGTTTGAATCCATAGGTCTAGAATATTAGTGCAGCCCTTCTAAGCGTTAACTAGACGGTGTGGCAAATCCTGGTCTGATCTGCAGTACTTAGAATCTCTCTAAACTTAAATGGTGGTTGGTTTTACTGCTACAAACAAGTGCCTTGGTAAAATGTTGGGTCCTGGTCTGATCTGCAGTTCTTAGAATCTCTCTAAACTTAAATGGTGGTTGGTTTTACTGCTACAAACAAGTGCTGTGCATATTATTTTATTTCATTTTGTAAGTCTAATAATGTTATGCCAGGAAAATGCATTATTATGGTGCCATAAAATGGGGAGGAAATAAGAATGATTTCCTTTTTTTTTTCTTTTTCTTTTTTTCCTTTTGAAAAGAAAAAGAATTTATTTTTCTTTTTGTATGACAAAGAAAGTTCCATGGTTTGAGGGATTGGTTTGTCAGTGCAGGGACCAGTTTTGGGCTCGAGGCCAAACCAATGTATCATACTTCTCTGTATCACTATCCTTCTTGGTGGCTGCAAAAGAGGCCTAATTGAACCGTTGGACTGTGTTTGACCTAGTTAGAGGGCAAATTCAATGCATGTTCCCGCCAGTCCGCCATTGTGGGTTCCAGCCTTGCATCTAAATCCGGAGAGGCAGTTTCTTTGTTTTGAGCACCTGAATTTCGTAAAGTTTCTTTGATTTAAACCCACGACTTCCATGATTATAATGGAGCAACTTTATTATTACGCTAGGTAGTTTTAAGGTCTCTTAGATTCAAGGTTTGTTTTAAACCCGTGACTTCCATGATTTGTAGGATTTCAATTGTTTTCTGCTGTTTTTTAACAAAAATATGGAGCTAGAAACTCTACAAAGAATTAATGAGCAAACCCCTGCATTTTAAGTGTTCACAACTTTACAATAATGAAGACATTTTTCATGTGCACACACATATTTCACAATAAGTCCATGAAGAGACTTGAACTTCTCACGAAGGAGTAGATATTGGGTGTGTTATTAGTGTATTCACTCAATGAAATATAACATATTATTTCGTTATTAATAATTTTATAAGTTGGTGGACAAACTTTGATGGATACACTAGTGACATGATGCATGCACACCCACTATCTATATATTTTAGGTTCATGTGATTGTTGGAGAGTGGTAATGATCTAGAAATTATTGTATTGTCTCGACCACTCACTAATTTGAAACGTAAATAAAATTAATACAAAAAAATTGATATATTTGCCTACATGTTAACTTAGGGCCCGTTTGGAAAGTGTGTGTTTTGTTGTGTAATGCTTTATCCTAGAATAGAACAAGTGTTTTGTGATGTGTTTTGAAATGGGAACAAAACATGTTTGGCGATGAAAATTTGGAAATAGAAACATGGTAGAACATGTTTGACAAGGTATTTCATTTCAAGAAATAATAGAACAAAACATGTTTGACAAGTATTTGTGTTTTGTAGTGTTTTATTTATAACTTTATTAAACATAAAGTTATAAATTAATTATTGTATAATTTTAGTATACAATTGTGTAATGCTTTAAACAGATTAATTGTTACCAAATAAATTTAAAATTACTACTATATTTATAAAATTTGAAAGATAATGTATCATAAAAAAATATACAGTATATGCATATTTTTTTATTTTTTATGCTGAATTATTATTTTGAACTTACATTCTTAAAAATTCATATTGTGATTAATATTTTCATATTTTTTATGCTGAATTTTTATTTTGAACTTACATTCTTAAAAATTCATATTTTGATTAATATTTTCATATTTTTTATGCTGAATTTTTTATACTCAATTGAACAAAGAGTAATTCTGAAAAATTCATATTAACACAAACAAAATCTGAAAGCAAACAATAGTCCCTAAAAATGGATCCTTCTCTTCCACCTTCAAATCTGAAAATTGTAGATCACATTGACAATTAATGAAACGGAGACTTGGAAAAAAAAAAAAATGAAACGTAGACACATATAATTATATATAATATATGCAAAGGGAATAAAACGAGGCTCAGATCTGCTTTAGATCAGATCAGATGAGAATGTGACACAACCATGGCTGCAACAACAATTGCCCTTGAGAATACAAAAAGCATCTCACAGACCATCCGAGTCGCCCTACTATGAAACGAGTCATCTTCTCGATGACTGATTTGCTCAGATATTTTTCATCATAGCCTTTTGCAAACAACTCGGATTGAGAGGAGCTCACCTAGAACATGTCTGAATTTTCTGTTTATAGTTGTTCTCAAATCAGAACAAGTGGGTGCATTTGTTGCACCCGCTACAGTTAATGTTGGGCCTGAAATAAAGTCGGAACAAGCAAGAACACAAATTTGGTATTCCAAGATTTGGCCCTTTTTTACATAATGTTCTGCCACTGTTCGAACCAATATAGCCCGGCCCAAACATATTTTGTTCTGAAAATGGCCTACTGTTCACATCCTGGAGCATTACAGCACACTATTGCACACTTACCAAACAGGGCCTTTGTAATTGGCGGGAAGATGTAATAATTTTTCTTTCGTTCGGACCACCTTTAAGAAGTTGACCGTTGGTTCAGGTCTTGGCAGGTCCCCCTTCTACAATGTAGAAGCTGAAAAATGCAATGAGACCACATGACTGTGTCAGAGGCGGTCGACCATTTGAATGAGATCCATAACTGTGTTGGACCAGTAATTGGACTCTTATAGGATGCTTTTTCAAGTATGTATGCATCCTTGCAACGTGTTGTAAAAATTTTAACCATGGTAAAATTCAGTATTTTTATTTGAATGTTATTGAAACTGAATTTTAAGTGCTAAAATATATTTTAAACGTAAACTTTTTTTCACCACTTACCATGAAATTTGAATGAATTAGGTGGGTCAAGAGATTAGCATTTGCTAGTCTCAATGTATTAACCACTCAACTTACGCCCATTGAAGCTAAAGCCATAAGTTCCACAAGTTTGTCTCCAAATTTTTCAATAAGTTGTTTAACTTAATTAAAAAATGTCTCTATTCAATGAGCATTTAAATTATATGCCATAATATAAAATTTTATGAAAATAATTATAACTTGTAATTAAACAAGGACAATTATTGCAAATTTTTTTTTTTTTTTTTGGTTAATAACAATTATTGCATGTTTCAATATCATTAACATGTTCCACTATGTTTACACAATAAATAACTGCAAAGTCCTGCATCAAAGCACTTTGTAAAGAACAAAAATCTTCCATTTGATTTTCAATAGTATTCATTTTCTTTATTATCTTGTTTTTATATTTAATTTATAGCAATTATTATTATTTCACTCCAAAACTTTAATTTATAGCAATTATTATTATTATTCATATCCTTTATTATTGTTTCTAATTTTTTTTTTTTGACAAGACTCAAGTTGCTCGGGTGGACCTAACCAGTCCCATCTCCAACCCATTTTCTCAATCCTGAGTAGACACAGACCAATTTGCTCATATCTTCCATAAATCAAAATTGGTGGTCTACTACAAGATTTGTTTGTCACGCTAAACTAGAGTTCACTTGACCTACATTAGGCATGAATATTATCTCAAAAAATCCCTCTTTGGAACACTAGATCCATTTTCCCAGTTTGTATATTTTGGGTGCAAACACAGATTTACATGGGCAACTTAGGAAAATTCAAGAAAATAGAACAGCTGAAAATAGGCTACTGTTTGGTAAATTTTTTTTAGAAAAAATTCAAAATTTTATTTTTATCAAATGGTAAATCTTTATTTCTGGCTCACGTCAAATGGAGCTTCTTTGTTTTTTACATATATTGTTCCTGTGAACTTTAACTCTAGTTTAAACGTTTGGATTGAAAGATTCGAAGGGATAGTGAGATAAAAGAAAAGACAGGATAGTATAGAATGTGTGAAGGGTTGTTTAAAATGAGAGAAAAGCGATAGGAAGAGATAAGGGGGGATAGCTATTCCTCCTTATCCCTCCTATCCTATCTCTCTAAAAATGAGAAGAAATGAGAAGATAAGGAGAGAAATGATAATATTTAAGTGGTAGTTTCATAATTTTCAAATTGCCCTCAACAGTTAAAAGGAGAAAATTATTATTCCACGCATGTCTCGTCAATTTAAAAGCCGTTTATTTAAAAGGGTATGATAGTAATTTGGCTATTATCCTTTCTTTTCTTTTCTCTTCTTTATCATATCCAAACAAGAATACTATATTTTCTTTTTTTTTCTTTTCTCTCATATATATATATATATCCAAACATGAATAGAGATTATTGTTATCATTTTCATTTTTTTCCCCCTACTAATATTATCACCTCCTTTCTTTTCTCTCATGTGTATCCAAAACGGAGCTGGACTTTGTTATTACTTAAAATTGATTTTATAAAAAGAAAAATGATATTGAAATTTATAATTGAGGCCTAAAAGAATAACTCAGAATGCTTATTTGTTGTTAAATATGTTTAAAGTGGGACTCATAAATTCCACATAAAAGTCTTTGGACTCATGTTTTAGGCCTGAATTATTGACTAAAGTGAGTTACTTGGTCTAAACAACTCTTAAGATTCCCCAAGTGGTAAATATCAAATTTACTTGACCAACCCAATTGTGAAATCACTTCATACCAAGTGGAGCTTCTTGTCAATCAAAAACTAGTAGTCTAGTACTAGCATGTAATTGAACTCTCAAGCTACTTGTCAACCTTGGGGTCAATGTCTCTGAATTAGGGCTGGAACAAAGTTTGTCCCTCTGTGCTCCAAACGGACATGACCTCCATGAAGATGGAACAAACAATAGAAACAGAGGACTGCATGATGGAGGTATGATCATCCCTCCTTGGCAGCCAAACCCCAACATGGTGTCTATTGTCTTACTCGGCTATGTACTTCCCATGTCAATGGCACATGGACTACGTGCCAAGTGGCATGCCTCGGTGGGCCATACCCGAACCTTTCATGTCCCATGGAGGAGGTGCAGATGGCGGTTTGGCCATGGACCATTGTCTCCCTTCACAATCTTTCACTATCTTCAGACCTACCCTCCCACTCCTCTGTAGGACCCTGATGTTTCATGGAATACATTACACACTTCTTTCCATCTATTTTCAATTCTAAATGCAAACTCAACCGTATGATTTCACAGATGCTAAATTTTACTATTGAACAAAGTTTCATTGTCATTTGAAATAACTTACCACCTAAGACTTTGGAGCATCTGTGATTTGAACACTGATAGGATCTATGATTTAGTCAGGAAACAGTTAAATTTTGGTGGGTCATGTAAATTAAATTCAGTCTACAAATCTAAATCAATCTCTCCACGACTCTACTTTTCAAAAAACTTGCTATAAAATTTAATAATACTAATGAAATTCAAATGATTTTAGCAACAAAAATTCAGCTATACTGACATGCATGAATGCCATGGGATATATACATGCAATGTTATGTAATAACAGTGATTAAATTATGTCGTTTCTGCTTAAAGTTGTCTATTCATGGCCATAATCAGATTCTAATATCATCTCTATATGCTATAGTAACATTACTTTTAAAACATTTCATCCTTTAATAACATATAATAGTTGATATTTACTGTGTATGTTCTTAAATCATTTCGAAAGTTCAGATGTTCTCTCTATAAATAGCGTTGAAATGGTCAAGAAAAGATACTTACAATACCACTAATTTCTCTGAGGCTAATGTTTCAAGCATCGTGATAGAAGAATTAGCATTCCTCTGCAGAGGACCTGAGTTCAGAAATACAACAATCGACTAAGAGAGAATTCAGGCTACTATTGCATATAAAAACTAATGTTCGATCATTGAAATAATTTCTAATAATCAGTCAGTGGTGTCAGCAAGTTCTAGCATTTCTACAAACCGTTCTCTCTTATTCTGTGTCCAAATTAACCACATAACATGAAAACAATGTCTTTAGTAACATTGCATACGAGTTCTTAACAATTTTGAATGAAGTTATTTCAAGGTTGACACTTTAGTAAATGGAATATGTACTTGCATGCAATGCTTAATGTATCAGTGTACATAGTCTCCTCATTTATATTATCTATGATGAAAGTATGCATAAAAGAAAGAAAAAAAATGAATGAGTATACTTTTTGTTCGATGATTGATAAGAATTCCATAAGAACAAAACAAAACTAACTCGAAGAAAGAAAAAAAATCCTAAACCAATTTTATTCTTGTCATAAAATAACTCAGGTATTCTACATCCATACAGACAAAACAGTTATTCAGTCAGAATTTAATGATAATTATGATATTTTACACATATTAATATCAAATCATGAGAGGACATAATTAAATCAATCTACAGTCACTCCACTATTTCCAAGGTGAAGGATATCCAATTTGTACCATACACTTTTTACATAGAATAGATTCAGTATGTGAAGGCAACAAATAAGTTATGCAGTAGTAAAATATTGCATGAACACACAAGGAATGGAGTTGGAATGGGGTTCTGAATCGGCACATGGGCAGCTCCTAGATCATCTATTTGTTGTTCAACAAAGTACACTTCTCAAGTCAATCTTAATTACATCTTTGGTTACACTTTGGAAGAAAAACAAAATATAAAAATTATACTGTTATACTTCAATGATCTCTCTCTGTGTTATATATCGATTTCCATGCATATGTTCACCACGTAGCTCTATAAAACATTTTCTCTCTCCTCGGATGCCCCTCGATTGATTAGAAAGTTAGCGAGAGGAGGGGACAAGGGAGGCCCTCAATATCTTCGATTTCATATTCAAGGTTCATCACCCAAACACCTGCATGTTCTCTTAAAGACTTCTTTCATCTCCTACAAAACCTGCATTTAATGCACGTTTCCCTTTTAGCAGTACAAATACTAGCAAACCTAACACTGATTTCGCTCACAAACTTCATTGTATTCAATTACTTCCAACCTAATACCCATAGTTACAAAATCATCTCTCGTCATGTCTTCTCTAGCTCTTATCGTACTTCTATGTCTTTCTGTGCATGCATGCGATGCCCGGCATCTAGGCGTTACCAATAAGGAGACCACCAGGGAAGTTCACCTTCTCAGCAAGGTTGGTATTGGGATTAAATATATTATTAGGTTATGTTTTACATGCAGTGTTTGAGATATGTTTTTGAGAGATATGGTCTGATTTTTAGGGTTTGATGCAGGGTTCAGTGAAGCCAAAATCTTACAAGATTATAACTCCATCAAGGCTCAGGTTTTCCATCTCTGTGGAGGAAAAATTTATGGTTGAAAAAGATGGAAAAAAACCTTATGAGAGTTGGGGTGGTGCAAACACTAGGAAGCAAAAGGATTTGGAGGCTCTTTGGAAAAAGGACACCAGGGGAGCTACTTCAACTTCAGGTTCTCTCTCTCTCTCTCTCTCTCTCTCTCTCCAAAAGATACTTGTCTCGTTACACGCAAGGAAGAATCTCCTCCTTACAGCTGACGTGTCATTATATGATTGGAATATATTATTAGATTTAGTATCTGCTTGACCTACCTAAAAATATGTTTTATCGAATTATTTTTTAATATTATATAAGAATGCGTGGTACATCAATTGTAAGGAGGAGGTTTCTTCTTAAGCGTAAGGAATAAGCAATAAGGATGTACAAAAATGTCCAAGACATATTACACAGATAACTGCATCACCATTTTACTCCACCGAGGGTGTATCTTTATATCATCTTATACAAACTCCAACCTTAACTTTTTTAAAAGTCTCTTACATATGCATATATATATAAACACAAATATATAGCTTCCTCGGTAACTATAACAACCTGGAACATAGTTATATAAAACAAGTTGTTCTCTATTATGTCTTGCCTCCTTGCGTTCTCCTCTTTTTTGTGTACCAGATGACTATGTATGACTTATAAATATATATATTCTTATTTCTCTTATATTATCCTTGGGCATAAATATATTATTACTGATAGTGACAGAACGTGCAGGAAACAAGGTTTTGGCATCATCATGGCCAGAGGGTTTGCAACATGCTACCAAAATAGAGGTAAACAATTTTACTTCATGTTTTGTGTACCTTCAGATTGGTGTGTGGTTGTTGTAGAGTTAATGTGTAGGATGTGGTGGTTACCAAGACTCATGGCCCATCTCCTTCACCGTGTCCTCAGTGAGGATGGCAATGGCAGGTGGTCTACAAGTGCCTCTATGCATGCTGCATGTCTTCGATAAAATCTGTAACACTAATAGATCTCAATTTTCCTTCAACTAATTGGAATCAACTAACAATAATAATCATCATCATCCTTGACTTTGAATGGACTATGCATGCCCTATGTCTTTGATAAGAGGCATAGCACTAATAGTGCATCCTCAACAACTCAATAAAGCCTCTTCTTAACAAACATTTGGGATCAACGTACAAACATTAATAGAGTAACAGATATAGCCTGTCATTGCTCTTCGGGGAAACAGACTAATCAAACAAGATTTTTAATTTGATTGAGTGTAATTATCTTTATATTGTTCAAGAATTTGCATGAGAATGCATGTGAAGAATGACAAGGATGTCTCACTGTGTAGGGATGGAAGAGGCAAGCACGGTCGATGCTGGCATCTGCACCACAAAATACTGAGGAAGCCATAGATTCCAAGGAAGACGAAGTTGTGGAAGATGTAGTAGTTATGGACTATGCGCAACCCCATCGAAAACCACCAATTCACAACAAGGAACCCTAGACAGTCGAGCTTAATTTCCCTTGATGAACTCGTGCATTTCCTTCTTTTTGTTTCTCTGATTTCTGTGTTCAAAGGGCTAAAAAGAATTCATAATTAGGAAAATTGTTATAGTTAAAGCTGGTTTTTGCATTGTGGCAGACAAAAAAGTTCCTCTAAAAGGAGTCTTTTCTAGATTTCATAGAGAATCCTTTACAAAAGAGGAACTCCTTTTTTAAGGTTTTACTGTTAAAATAAAGTTTAATACAATGGAAGAGTTACAGCTAGTCATAAATGGGTAAATTTTGTGAATTCATGGTTGATGATCTTTTGTCTTGTCTGCTTGTATTCTAAACGAGACATTGAATAAAAGAGGAAACATACTACCTGGATGTGAGGCCGTGGTCATAAATGTGTTGGTTGATTCCGTCTTAAATGAGGGAGGCAGTTAGATGTTAGTTTCTGCACTTTCAGTTGATTGTTCCAACTGTTGTGGCTTTCACAAATGGATTGTAGTAAGGACTTTAGCCTGTGGAGCAATAAAACTTTTTACCTCTTGAGCAATAAAATCCCTCATGGCATATACCTATATATCACCATATATTTATATGTGTATCACATATATAGAACTCTAATTTTAGACACAGTAGATATATATTGGAGATTAACAAGAAACGGAATCATAAATGATGGGGAAACATTATAATGTTAAATTAGGATAAAGAGGACCAAAGATTACTCAAAGTTCCACCTCAAAGTTACAGAATCAGTTCCACAGCTAGATTTTCCCAGATTTTCAAGTGAGGTTTCCTTTAATTTTCCGATGTTAGAAACCTAGGAGGTGGCTTTTGCTTTGCCAAACAGAGATTACCAGTCTATAAGATTACAATCTATGAAGCTAGTTGGTAAATTATGCTTAGTTACAGTTTTTTAGGTCTTCAGATTCACTATTTTCAGCCAAAGTAGAGTGACATATATAGCCTCTCAATAATTGGAGTAGCTTGGCTAGACTTTATGTGGACTTGTACATCTTCTGCTCACCCAAGCCATTGTAGCATAGTGACATAATATTTACATCAAAAAGGGGTTCAGATCTAAATAGGGGATGATTATTGTTTGACCAAATTCTTTCCTAGAGTTCAACAAACTAGAACATTGTCAAGGCTGATGATTTGCTTGTACATATAACAAAACTTGATCAGGTAGATATGACTGTTTTAATCCTGTTATGGATAAATAGATGAACAAACTCAAGACTTCAACTTATCACAGGGTCTTTCTTCAAGACAAGGTAATAAAAATGGACAGCAATGGTACATAGGCTAATGTTTTCTGGCTATGGTCCGAGAAAATGCCTTGACACACAACCATGTAGGTCTTGCCTTAAACTCCAAGGTGTATATCAAGACAGGAGACATAGGATATAGAGAACATTGAGGTTGGTCCTTACCAACATAACAATGTTTAAGTCATTGATCTTAAGCATATTTGTTTTCGACTTAAAATGGCTATAGATAAAGGTTAAAAAATCCAAGCTGCTTCTACTTGCTTCATATAACAAACAGCTAACCCACCAAATCTACTGCTTAGTTGACAATCAATGTAGCCTATGTGAAATCATACTGTACATCAAAAAGAAAAGCGATATTAAACTACAAATCACTCGATTCATTTTGGGATTTAAGAAGAACATGTAAAGCAAACCTGCATTCCAAAGATAGTAACGTTCCAAACCTGTATCGCAAGCAGGAGAGAAATCATGAGAAAAACATTGTTGGCATTATTGGGCTGATGAATCACCGTGCAATAATAATTTCCAACAGGCAGTCTTGTCAGGTTTTGTCTTCCATAATTGGTCCAATAACAGTTCATTTCAGGTAACCAAACACCACTACAATTGACAAAGAAAGGCCTTACAAAGTCAATGAATTCAGATGTCCAGATCCCGGCTTCAAATCAATCTCTCTGCCGCCCTACTAGAAGAACTTGGGATAGCTTCACAATACCTCCACCCACTAAATGATTCTCAGGTAAAATGCTCAAAATAATCTTCTCTTTGATACATACAGGCACATAACAAATCAATAGTTTCTAGGATGAAATTTCACCAATTAGTGTTAGAAATATTCAGCTCATTTTGAAACTTTATGACCAAAATAGTTTGAAATATTCAATTCATTCAAACTCTATATAACTAGCATTTACAAATTACTATACACTAATTCATCCACAAATCATACAATTTCTGGGTACAGATCAGTTTTACTGTGTGTTGATATTTTTGCATCAGAACTAAAAATACAGCACAAGTTCGATACAAGCAAAACGACGATTAAATCAAACTATAACAAAAATAAAAGGATGGTGAATTTAAACGATTAGCCTGAGCTCACTTTCATTCTAAGATATAGGACAACCCAAAGATTATCAGAATGAATCCAAATGACTGATGAACTACACAACTATATTAGACCCCAGAACTGAGATAAATTCTCCAATCTTCAGTTCTAGAGCTAGAATTTGGATAGGTATAATATTGGGACAATGAACTCTGAATAGCTGGCATAACAGTTGGCAGAATTTAATGAACAGGAGAGAAACTACATGCATCGAATGCTTTGTGTTGAAATATATAAATATTTCTATATAATCCACAATTTGAGTACTCTGTTTTCTCTATCCAAAAAAAATAAGGAACATCTGTGCATGTATCCTATATAACCAGCAACTGGCAGTAAGCTAGAGACAGATAAGTATCCAACCCCAGCAGTCAAACCTCAGGGGCCTATTTGTTCAAACCATATCAAGCATAAGAGCATAATGAAGTGGTAATGTCTTGAAACACAAATCATGTGCATATGTTTCAAAAAGCATGGAGCATGTCAGGAGAATAGTTCAAAAGAGAAAATGAATCAACAATTTCGGACAAAAGTTTCACCCTATTTACATACTTCGTCAGTCATAACAAATCGGTTGATTGATCTTGGTGTTGGCTAATATAGATGCATGAGCACAACGGAGACAAAGCTCCAAGAAGTTATAAGATGCAGCCAAAGTACATGCCAAAAAAGGAGGTGTAAAGGACATGGAATTTTTCCAAGGGCTAAGTAAAAATGAAATATCTCCATCTCCCATTATGTCAAAACACTTACTAATGAAAAGAATAGCTAATTAACAGAAGGTCCAGAACGTTTTTCTTCAAGCCAATACATGTCATCTCATCGTGCTTATAGTCAGTCAACTTCAAAATTGTCTCCTGCTCAAGGCTGTTCAGCTTCACTTAAATGCCTCGTATCTTGAAACCTCTTTGCTTGAGGAGGGCAGGAGCGAGAATATCTCAGAGAGAATTTCACGAAAGAATCATGTTCTTTCATCTTACTGCCAAAGAAAGACAGAATAAACACCATGAATGAAATTCAGAACTTGTCTCTCTATGGCAGCAAGCTATAAATTTCTTTCAGACAATATCTCTTCTCTAGGCATGAGCAAGCCTCACTGCGTAAATAAAACTAAGGATGATAAAACAGGTAGTATCGCAGCAAATTTAGAAATGGTTTTAGCACCAAACATTTGATCTGAACTTACATCAAACCTTCATCTTTAAAGCTACTCATTCCAAGTAAATTCCCTCATAATTGTTGGGTTAATGTTATTTCTATCTTCAACAAGGTTCAGAAATGCATAGAGTTAGTGTCACATTAGAGTCTTGAGTTTGAATTCTGAAAATGCTTAGGTTTGAATCAAATAAGTGCCAAAATCAATATACATTTGTGAAGAATACTGAACTAAACAGACCATCCCAAAAACTCACAGCTCATTGCAGACAGCAGGCTGAGCTTGGGAAACAAATAGTGGACAGAGATCACGCCAGTTTGAACTTGTACATAAGGATTTTTCTTTGGACTGAATTGATAAATTCAGCCCAACTTTGCGTGTCCCATTTCCCGACCATATCTTGGACCGTAATTTCAGAACCTTTTCATCAAAATGGCCAGTTTAGTCCTTTTTACCAAGCAATTGACATGTTATGATATGATGAAAAAGGTACTCACAAACTAGAAGAAGAAAAACGAAAGGGGGCAGAGCCATGATACTGAAGAAGGCAGAGAATAGTATTCAGTCATCCATTGAATCCCTGCCTTACCTTTCCATTGATGTCTTAGGCAAAATACTCTCAAGTCTGTCCATCAAGTCTCTGTTGCAATGCAGGTGCATTTCCAAGTCATGGCTTTCTTTAATCTCCAACACAAACTTCATTACTCACCTCAATCAATCAATCGCAAACCCCAGCAATCAAACCTCAGGGGCCTATTTGTTCAAACCATATCAAGCAGAAGAGCAAAATGAAGTGTTAATGTCTTCAAACGCGAGTCATGTGCATATGTTCCTAAAAACATGGAGCATGTCAAGGAAAATAGTTCAAAAGAGCAAAAGAATTAATGATTTTATACAAAAAGTTTCACCCTATTTACTTACTTAGTCAGTCATAGCAAATCAGTTGATCTTGGTGTTGGTTAATATAGATGTATGAGCACAACATAGACAAAGCTCCGAGAATCAAAAAGATGCAGCCAAAATACGTGTCACAAAAGGTGTAAAAGGACACAGACTTATTCCAAGGGCTAAGTAAGAATGAAATATTTTCATCTCCCAATATTTCAAAACACTTCCTCATGAACAGAATAGTTAGTTACCAGAAGGTTCAGAATGTTTTTCTTCAAGCCAACACATGTCATCTCATTGTGTTTATAATCGGTCAACTTCAGAGATGTCTCCTGCTCAGTGCTGTTCACTTTCACTTGGTAGCCTGGCATCTTGAAACCTCTTTGCTTGAGGAGGGCTGGAGCAAGAACGTCCCAGAGACCGTTTTGAGAAAGAATCACCTACTTTCATCTTACTGCCCAAGAAAGGCAGAATAAAATTCAGAACTTGTCTCTGTATGGCACGAAGCTATGAATTTCTTTTAGACAATACTTCTCAAGGAAGGAGCAAGCCTCACTACGTAAATAAAACTAAGGATGATAAAACAGCTAGTATTGCAGCAAATTTAGAAATGGTTTTAGCACCAAACAGTTTAACTTACATCTAACCTTTTTCTTTAAGGTTACGCATTCCAACTAAATGCCCCCTCAAATGTTGGGTTAATGTTTTTTTTTTTTCCTAGTTGATACTCAACCCCCCGCCCCTCAAGGAATTGTTTGCGCACAAAAAGATTCAAACCTTAGACCTGATGCTTCCTGAGGCACCCGGGCCAAGTTCTTACTCACTTGAGCCAACCCCTTAGGGGCCTATTTGTTCATAAATAAATATATATATACAAGCAACTTAGTTTGGAGTCACTCATTACGTGTTTTTACCAATCAATTGACATGTTATGATATGACAAAAAAAGCACCCACAAACTAGAAGAAGAAGAAAAACAAAAGAGAGTAAATCCATGGTACTGAAGAAGGCAGATAATAGTATTCAGTCATCCATTGAGTCCATGCCTTACCTTTCCATTGATGTCTTAGTCGAAATATTCTCAAGTCTATCCATCAAGTCTCTGTTGTGATGCAAGTGCATTTCCATGTCATGGTCTTCTAATATCTCCAACACAAACTTCATTAAAACTCACCTCAATCAATCGATCACAAAGTCCAGCATCCAAACATAGCCGTTACTCACATTGACCCCAGCAATTAAACCTCATGGGTCTATTTGTTCAAACCATATCAAGCAGAAGACCAAAATGAAGTGTTAATATCTTGAAACATGAGTCCTGTCCATATGTTCCCAAAAACATGGAGCCTGTCAGGAAAATAGTTCAAAGGAGCAAATGAATTAATGATTTCAGACAAAAGTTTCACTCTATTTACTTACTCTGTCAGTCATAACAAATCAGTTGATGTTAGTATAATAAATGTATGAGCACAACACGGACAAGGCTCTGAGAATCAAAAGGATGCAGCCAAAATACATGCCACAAAAGGTGTAAAAGGACATATGACTTATTCCAAGGGCCAAGTAAAAATGAAACATTTTCATCTCCCAATATGTCAAAACACTTCCTAATGAACAGAATAGTTAGTTACTGGAAGGTCCATTATGTTTTTCTTCAAGCCAACACAAGTCATCTCATCGTGTTTATAATCGGTCAACTTCAAACAGGTCTCCTGCTCATTGCTGTTCACTTTCACTTGGTTGCCTGGTATTTTGAGGGCAGGAGCAAGAACGTCTCAGAGAGCGTTTCGCGAAAGAATCATGTTCTTTCATCTGACTGCCAAAGAGAGACAATGAACCAAATAAATAACTTGTCTCTGTATGGCAGCAAGCTATGAATTTCTTTCAGAAAATACTGTCTTCTCGAGGCAGGAGCAAGCCTCACTATGTAAATAAAACTAAGGGTGATAAAACAGCTAGTATTGCAGCAAATTTAGAAATGGTTTTAGCACCAAAACATTTGATCTGAACTTACACCAAACCTTCATCTTTAAAGTTACTCATTCCAACTAAATTCGCCCATAATTGTTAGGTTAATGTTATTTTTAACTTCAACAAGGATTAAAAATGCGTAGGGTTGGTGTCACATTAGAGTATCGAGTTTCAACTCTGAAAATGCTTAGGTTCGAATTTAATAGGTGCCAAAATCAGTATGTATTGTGAAAAACACTGAGCTAAAAGGACTATCCTAACAAACCACAGCTCATTGCAGACAACAGGCTGAGCTTGGAAACAAACAGTGGACATAAATCATGCCAATTTGATATTGTAACTGTGCGCTTCCTATTTCATGACCAAATAATGGACTGTAATTCCAGAACCTTTTTAACCAAAATGGCCAGTTTAGTCCAGATATTTAAAAAATCTGTAACGATATCCAGGAAGCAGTGTAGACACTCCTATCAATTAAAATTTAAAGAACAAAACTTCTACTTTGAAACTCTAGCAAGTTCTTTGATCATTTCGTAGGCAGTAAACAACAGTTGAATTAATTTTTTTGATATCGTGCCGCTGTTGATGGCAAACATAAAATTCACTCATTTCAGCATTATATCAAGCAATATACTGCAATAAAGAGAATGTCCACGACTAAGATATTTCTAGTGGCAATTTAGATTCAGATAGTTTACGGATAAAAAAGTATCAAGGCACCTGAACAACAATGGCATAGCACTTTGAATTGCTGCCATTGCAATCCGTTACATTAAGTGAGGCTCGAGTTTTCCCGGAAGGTAAGGGGCTCAAGTATTCTACCTGTGTGGAACAGGAAGAGATATTGTTCAGAGATACAATACAACTTAAAGAAGTATGTAAGAATGGAGAAACACATTATTGTTGTCATCTCAATCTTCATCATGTTAAAACAATATATCCATGTCACAGTTTGTGTGCATATCTGAGTGAGTGAGAGAAGAATAAAACTGTGTACAATTCAAACACACACTAATTTCAGCATAATGGTGTCCTTGTTTTTCTTCATAGAACAATGATTACAATACCAGAGCTAAGCCAGTGCATACTCATAAGTCAGAAATAATGTGAGTTAAAACTGAGCAACCAAATGACAGTTGAAAAAGTTAGAAATAGATAGCTTCCAAAACTCAAAGTGCTAACAAACAAAACAGCAAAAAAATGCATCTTAAATAGTAAATTACATTAACACAAATATATAAACCAGCAAAAATATGTCTTGTATTGAATTCTTGAGACCCATAACCAAAATTTCTGTCCCCATTAGTCACAAAACGCATTTTTGGAATTCGCCTTCACCAAAAAATAAAAATGAAATGAAATCCAAGTGCATACTCGGTTTAATTATGTGAAATTATCGTTGATTTTAGGTCAATTTTCCATAATAATGTCTAAAAGCAATATATCAAATTCACAATTTCTAGGGCATATGTGAGTGTGAATAAAAAGGTTTTGCAGAGATGAATCAGATGATGGAGAGAGAGAGAGAGAGAGAGAGAGCACCTAAGCATGCGTGATACACCAAGCTTTTCCTCTTTCTCGTTGTAGCAGATTATAGGATGTAGAACGAGCGTTGATCCTCTGCAAGTGTCTATATGATGCCTGTGTAAGACTGGAAGATCTGGAACGCTAATCTTGCTTATCCGTCTAACGAAAACAGAGGATCAAGGAAAATGAAAGGTAAAAAGGTTTAAATCTCCCCAGAAGAAGTTCTGATAAAAATAATAAATAAATAAATAAAAACTTTTCAATCAACTCACTTAATGGTCGTTAATTATTAGTGAGTTGATCCATTAATTTTTTTTTGAAAAAATGCTTTTAAAATCAGGTAGTTGTAAAGAATTTCTTGATCAAAAGCTTTTAATCAGTCGTGAAGGCAAAATATAAAGAAGTCAAGGTTTTTACATAAATGAGGGATCGGTAGTATTCGGTCAAGAAGAAATTCTGCACAACTCAAATTATTAATCTCTTTACTTTTAAAGGGAGCTGGAATTATTAAGACATAAATAGTAAGAATTTTGACGACACCATTGTGTCTTCGGGGACGAAAAAAGTGTGTTTTTTATTTAGTAAAGTTTTAATAAATTAAAATTGGATGTTAGCGTGAGGATAAATATGTCTTTTAAAAATTTAGTTCTATATCATCATGGTTGACCACGTATTGTTAATAAATTGACGACAAAGGTATGGAGTACAAAGTAGAAGGGGTTAAATGTATTCGATACGAACGTGTAACCAATAAGGGATTAAGTGTAATTTTTTAAAATTTAGAAAAAACTTGGGTATTTTTCCTTATCTAGAGGGATGGTCATTGTAATTAACTCAAAGAATAAGCAGTGATGATGATTGAATGAACTAATGTTAGAAAGACTTGTCCCACATTTGATCCAATATAAAAAGAAGGGAAAATTTAAAAATACTCTACTTAATTTTGTATAATTTAAAAAATGTTAGTTTTTTCAAACTAATAGGTTTGACTACTAACTTTTTAAAATTAATTACAAAATTACACTAAAACACTATTTAAATTTTTTTATACTCCAAAATACCCTCCTAGTATACATGCCAATGCGGTTCCACTTTAAGGAGCCAACAAGTGGAATAAGAGCACAGGATAAGCAAACCCAAACATGAACTGTGCTCTGCACATCAGCAGAGTTGTGAAGGCATTTATCATGATAAATCTTCAAATACTCCTGCAATCCCTCTCATAGTATTTGACCTGACAATGAGAGCTCATCATAAAAGTGCAAGTTCAATTGGAAACTTTATACAGAATCATAAAAGAGAATTAAATGGAAGACTGATAAATTCATTCATTCCCCTCATAGAAACTTCCAAGCAGAAAGAGAATAAATTGGCGTTCCCTTCCACCCAATAAACAGACATTTCCCATCCATACCAAGTGTGAAAAAACTTTTACAAGCAAAGTTCTTAACCACCAGGCTTGCTTGATACAAAGATGACGAGCTCAGTTCTATTTCCTTCATATATCCCAAACTGTGCAAAAAAAGCTCTCCAAACATTGATGTTTACGTGTCGGGTTTCCTCTCCCTCAGCTGCAATAATATTCCTTACTGTATTAAAAAGACATACAGATTCAAAAAAAAATCTATGTGTTGCTGGAAATAATTTACTTACGCAAGTATTTGATCGTCCTAATTTATAGCAAGTTGTTATGGGTTAGTTTTTATTTTACCTATTCTTAAGGTTGTAACCCAGTAGTGGAGCATGTTAGTAGAACATGGCTTCATGGTCCTACTTTTCATGGATTAGTTGTTGTATCTTTTATGTTAGCTGGTTGTACTGCCTATATAAAGGCTATTCTTTAGATGAATAAAAGATCTCAAGTTTTGCTTCTTTGCTTTCTACATATATTATCAGTGGTATTAGAGCTAGGTCAAGAGTGTAAGAAAAGTAAAGTTGAGAGTGCCAAACAAAGAAAAAAGAGTGTTCGTGAGATAGAATAGCAGCAGCTTCATTTTTGCTATTTCATCAAAGTGTTTTTTGTAGCAGCAGCAATGGCCTTTGAAAATAATTTTGTGCAACCTGCAATTCGACGCTTTGCTGGTCACAATGATCATTGGAGCATGCTAATGGAGAACTTCTTAAGATCTAAGTAGTATTAGCAAGTCGTTTTAGATGGAATAACAGGACCAGCAGCAGACACGGCAATGACGGAAGCGCAGAAAATGGAGATAGAAGGGCAGCGGTTGAAGGATCTCAAGGCCAAGAACTATTTGTTTCAAGCTATTGATCAGTCAATCTTGGAAACAATTCTTTGCAAAGAAACTTCCAAGCAAATTTGGGATTCCATGAAGAAGAAGTACCTGGGATCAGTAAGGGCGAAGAGGCAGCAGCTTCAAGCACTTCATACGGAGTTCGAAATGCTTCGGATGAAATCGGGAGAGTCGGTCATAGACTATTTTTCTCGAATGATGGCAATTGTCAACAAGATGCATATCCATGGAGACAAGATGGAGGACGTGACTGTAATTGAAAAAATTCTTCGATCATTGACGCCGAAATTTAACTATGTGGGTTGTTCAATTGAAGAATCAAAGGATCTTGATGATCTTTCAATTGATGAGCTGCAAGGTTCGTTGTTGGTTCATGAACAAAATTTTAAACAGCAAGAAAAGGAGGAGCAAGCATTGCAGGTCACAACTAGCAACAAATTTTTAGCCCCCAACTCAGCAGGCTGAAGAAGAGGAGGAGCCAGAGGAAACAAGGATCAAAGAAGCCAACAACAATTCCAATAACAAAAGTCTGAAGATAACCGATTTCATGGTTCTCAATGGAGAGGAAGAGGACGAGGAAGCAACTAAGGACGAGGTAGCCACCAAGGACGAGGTAGTCACCATTCAACCAATTTCAGACCAATATCAGCAGACAAGTCCAATGTTGAATGCTATAGATGTCATCGGTATGGCCATTATAAATCTGAATGTCGAACAAATTTAAATAGAGAACATGGTGAAAAGTCTAACTTTGCAGAAGAGGAAGAAGAAGTATCCTTGTTGATGGTTTGTCATGCAAAGGAGGAAACCAACAAGAATTTATGGTACTTAGATACTGGCTGCAGTAATCATATGTGTGGAGACAAGTCTACATTCTCTGATTTGGATGAATCCTTCCGTGATGATGTGAAGTTTGGAGACAATTCGAAAGTCTCTGTTATGGGAAAAGGAAAGGTAGCTATCCAAACCAAGGAAAATTCCATCCATACTATCTCTAATGTTCTTTTTGTGCCAGATTTAAAGACCAATTTGCTTAGTGTGGGACAGCTGCAAGAAAAAGGATACGAGATTTCTATCAAAGATGGAGTATGCCGAATTCAAGATGCAAAATTGGGCTTAATAGCTCAAGTCAATATGACAACAAATCGGATGTTTCCACTTTATCTCCACAACACCACTTATTCATGCTTCTCAGCAAAATTGAAGAATGTAGCATGGCTATGGCATTTTCGCTATGGTCATCTAAACTTTGCTGGGTTGAAGATTCTACAGCAGAAAAATATGGTGACTGGTCTTCCTCAAATTATAGCTCCCTCTGAAGTTTGTGAAGAATATGTTGTTAGCAAACAACACCGTAATCAATTTTCGCAAGGAAAATCATGAAGAGCAAGAAGCCATTGGAGCTGATTCATTCTGATCTTTGCGGGCCGATAAATCCATCTTCTAATGGAGGCAAAAGATACATAATTACCTTCATTGATGATTATAGTCAGAAAATTTGGGTATATTTTTTGCAGGAGAAATCTGAAGCTTTTGCAGCCTTTAAAATTTATAAAGCGTTGGTTGAGAAAGAGGTTGGAAGTCCAATTAAAGTTCTTTGCACAGATCGTGGTAGAGAATACAACTCGCATGAATTTGCAAATTTTTGTGAGTTTCATGGAATCAAAAGGCAACTTACAATAGCGTACACGCCCCAGCAAAATGGAGTTTCTGAGAGGAAAAATCGCACTATTATAAATATGGTGCGAAGTCTTTTGACGAGAAGCAATGCTCCGAAATTTTTTTGGCCTGAAACAGTAAATTGGAGTATTCATATTTTGAACAGAAGTCCCACTTTAGCTGTTCAAAATATGACTCCAGAGGAAGCTTGGAACGGATGAAGACCATCTGTAGATAATTTGAGAATTTTTGGGTGTATTGCTTATGCCCATATTCCAGATGAGAGGAGGCAGAAGCTAGATGACAAAGGAGAAAAATGCATTTTTCTTGGTGTTAGTGACCAATCAAAAGCTTATAAGCTTTACAATCCTATCACTAAGAAAATTGTTATTAGTCGCGATGCCGTTTTTGATGAAGAACGAACTTGGCCATGGAGTGAGAATGGTGCTAAACAACAAATACTTGCCACAGATTTTGATGGTGATGAAGAAAGGCAGCACCCTATGGAGAATGTACACCAGCAGCCACACCAAATGTTCCCGAAGGCACTTAAAGCTCGCCTACAGCTGCAACTAATGATGAACAACGTCCACAACGTGATAGAAGAAGACCTGCATGGATGACCAATTATGAGGTAACTGGGATTGAACAATCTGAAGATCCACTTACACACTATGCTCTATTTTCAGATTGTGATCTTGTAGCCTTTTAAGATGCTGTTAAAGAAGCAAAATGGAGGAAGGCAATGAATGAAGAAATTGTTGCAATTAAAAGGAATAATACTTGGGAGTTGACGAAGCTTCCAAAAGAGCAAAAGACCATTGGTGTGAAGTGGGTGTACAAGACAAAACTGAAGGAGAATGGTGAAGTTGACAAGTACAAGGCACGTTTGGTAGCCAAGGGCTACAAGCAAGTGTTCAGCATCGACTACAAAGAGGTTTTTGCACCAGTCACACGACATGACACGATCAGATTGGTGATTGCATTGGTAGCTCAAAACTCATGGCCTATCTTCCACTTGGATACGAAATCAGCATTTCTACATGGCGACTTGGAAGAACAGGTATTTATTGATCAACCTCCTGGTTATGTGAAGTTTAGAGATGAGCATAAGGTGTATAAATTAAAAAAGGCACTATATGGATTAAAACAAGCTCCAAGAGCTTGGTATAGTCGTATAGATGCTTATTTTTCTAAGGAGGGTTTTCATAAATGTCCATATGAGCATTTGCTTTTTACAAAAATTGGAGATGGAGGAAAGAAGCTTATTGTTTGCTTATATGTGGATGATTTGATATTTACTGGAAATGATAAAGCCATGATTGAAAATTTTAAGCAGTCCATGATGGTTGAATTTGATATGTCTGATCTTAGAATGATGCACTATTTTCTTAGTATTGAAGTGAAGCAATCTGCTGTTGGAATTTTTATTTCTCCAAAGAAATATGTGCAAGAAATTTTAGATAGGTTTCAGATGAAGAATTGCAATTCTGTGAGCACACCAACTGAGTTTGGTCTGCAGCTAACTAAAGATCCTGAAGGAAGGAAGGAAGGTGGACAACACTCTTTACAAGCAAATTGTGGGAAGCTTGATGTATTTGACTGCAACAAGACCTGATATAATGCATGTTGTAAGTCTTATTAGTAGGTACATGGAATGCCCAAAAGAGATGCATCTTCTAGCAGCAAAGAGGATTTTTTGTTACTTGCAAGGTACTACTGATTTTGGGCTGTTCTACAAGAAGGGAAAAAAGTCAGATTTGTTTGGCTTCACTGACAGTGATTATGCTGGAGATTAAGATGATAGAAAAAACACTTCAGGGTATGCTTTTGTGTTGGGTTCAGGGGTTGTCTCATGGTCTTCAAAGAAACAACCAATTGTCACTTTATCAACAACTGAAGCTGAATTCGTAGCTGCAACTTCATGTGTATGTCAAGCTATTTGGCTAAGGAAGATTCTTGAAGAACTTCAGTTCAAGTAACAAGGAGCCACTTCAATTTATTGTGACAACAGTTCAGCAATTAAACTTTCCAAAAATCCTGTTTTGCACGGAAGAAGCAAGCATATAGATGTAAAGTATCACTTCTTAAGGGATCTCACGAAAGATGAAGTGACTAATCTTATCTTTTGCAGAAGTGAAGACCAAATTGCTGACATATTCACCAAACCTCTCAAAATGCCTTTGTTTAAGAAGCTAAGGGAGCTGCTCGGGGTCTGCATTTTTTGAAGGTTCAGTTTGAAGTTCGCAATTGATATTCTTTAAACTGAATGGTGGAAAGTTTCACTTTAAGGGAGGGAATGCTGGAAATAATTTACTTACGCAAGTATTTGATTGTCCTAATTTATAGCAAGTTGTTATGGGTTAGTTTTTATTTTACCCATTCTTAAGGTTGTAACCCAGTACTGGAGCATGTTAGTAGAACATGGCTTCATGGTCCTATTTTTCATGGATTAGTTGTTGTGTCTTTTATGTTAGCTGGTTGTACTGCCTATATAAAGGCTATTCTCTAGATGAATAAAAGATCTCAAGTTTTGCTTCTTTGCTTTCTACATATATTATCATGTGTGTCATTCCGATCCATACAGTCTTCCAGGGAATCAAAATATCCACCATAGTAAAAAAGAGCTTCAAGGAAACGATTCACAAAAATTGGTGAATTGTGGTTCACCTCAACTTCGATCAGAAACCAACATAATACGTGGATTATTGTTTCTTATGATTCTACTCTCATCAAATGTTCTACCCGATCTGACCCTGCAATCATGGTTCTTAACAAATATGATGAGTAAACAACAACTGCTTCTTCTGCATCTAGCTCAAAGAGGTTTTCATTGAGATCTAGGATGTCTAATACCTCTACTACATTGAAAGAGAAGAGTAAATTCAAGGATTTTAGCATTCCAAGTTTATCTCTTGCTCACCATCAGTTTTACATACAGAGTAAAAATGTTAATTATTTGCCAAACCACCATCATTCACAAGAGCACTAGGTAAGCCAACATCATGTAGAAATAATAGTGTTAAATTTCATTTGGTGAAGAATTTCATAATTTCGAAATAGGTGTGACAATTTTTTTATTTGCCGAAAAAAAAATAATAATAATTTCAGTTGCATCAGTTCTGAGAATGAATAAAATGTAGGGTAAAGTGCATTAAACCCCCCCTGAACTTTTTTCTCTCTCCCACAAAACCTCCCTGAACTATCACAAATACACTTAACCCCCTGAAGAATTCAATTTGTTGCAAAACATTTAAGTCCGTTAGAAATCAAATAGAAATTGAGGCACGTGGGTCACGTGATAAGGCAAAAAAAATTTAAAAGACAAATTTAACCTTATAGTATTCCCACCTTACACGGCCGCGACGCCACCACCATTCCCACCTTACAACTGCTGTGGCACCACCACACCACACCACACCACACCACACCGACGTTGCCACCACCATTATCCCAAACCCATAATCAGCAGTAGAAATTAACAGAAAAGATAACCACCGGGCCTTCACCTCGCCACCATCCGTAACTCCCACCACCCCCACTATCCCCAAACCCACAATCGGTAGAAGAAATCGATGAAGAAAGAAAATGGAGGCGCCGCCGCCAACGCCGCCGCCGCTGATTACTCCACCATCAAAACCCTCTTCCTCCACCGATCCCCTTCTCTCCAAGGGTCGCGACGCCTCCAATTTACCAAACCACCACTCGATCGCCTCATCTGCCGCCGTTCAATCCGTTCCAAGCTCACAACCGACAGCCAAAGTTATCAGCTATACATGACCCATTTCTAGCTGCGTACATCACCG